CCCTCCTCCCTCCCCTAACACTCACCCGGAAGTGGTGCCGCAGCTCTTGCTCCGGAGAACCCCCAGTTCCTCCACGCCCCCTCCTTCCCTCCCTCCCCCCACTGGCTCTAAGTGGAGCCCTGGCGGAGAGAAAGCGGGAGCGCCGGAAACGAAAAGGGGGGAGGGAGGGAAAAGGGGGGAGGGAGGGAAATGGCAACGCTGAGGGGGGTGGCAATGGGGCTGGGGAGGGGCGGGAAATGCAAAGGTCGAGTCAGTTCCGGGAGTGGGAGAGCGTATCTGGCGCTGCTAGCTCTCTGGCATACTCCGGGCAGAAGTTACGACAGGTAGGGGCGGAAGTGGCCTCTGCCCCGGGACGCTGTAGGGCCCTCCGTGGATGTGACGCTACAAGGGAAACGAAGGCGGGTTCTGCTAAGGGCAAGAAGCTGACCCTTCAGGACTGCGGCCCGTGGCTTCCGGAAGGGACTTCTGGGGAAGTGGGAGGGTGGAAACGAGACAGGTTCATTAATTATGCATCAACGTACGCGGGGAAGTACGGATTCTTAAAAGACCAGGGTCACTTTTCCCTTCCTTCACGGTGGCAAAGGCTGATATAGGAAGTTGCCAGTATGTTTTCCTACACTCTCAAGAATATGTCAGTTTTGAATATGCGGGAAAGGATAAGGATGTGTCATAGTTTTCTGATGTCTCTACTTAAGCCAAAAGAATAACTACCTGTCCATGCCTTCAAAATCTGACCCCTCCCTGACCACACCCATTACTCTCCACGCTTTGGTCTCTAAACACGTGTTGCCCTCATCCACGTCTCTAGCTTCTCAGCCTACTTGACTTTTAAGTACTTGGTACATTGTTTGCTGTCCACTTCTTCCCACTAGAATATCGGATCCGTGAGGGAAAGGTCTTTGAATTGTTGGCTGCAGTATCCTCAGAGCTCGGCATTTAGTAAGCAGTCAGTAAACGGTTGTTGCATAAGTAAACACTAATTGTGGACGCTTTCAGGAAGCCTTCCCTGATTGCTCCAGCTCATAAGGGTCCCTTTCTCTGAATTCCCATGGCTAAATTTAGTCTGTATCTTCTGTTGCTGTTTTATTTCCAATATGTGACTCAACAAGATTTCAGCTCTTCAGGGAAAAAACTGTCTCATACATGGTATTCTTCCCCACCCTTTGCTGAACACACAATAGATGATGAATAAATAAATGCTGTTCAAGTAAGTGAATGCTGCATCCAGCCTGCAACCTGATCTGGCCAGAATCCTCTGGGCTCAGGTCTATTTTAGCCAAGTCCCTCCTATTAACAGTAATAGCCCCTTGCTTAGGGAACAAAATAACCCTACTAGAAATAATTCTAATGTGCATTTTACAGATAATGAAAATAAGACTGAAGATTTAAGTGATTTTTCCCAAGGTCCAAGTGAGGAAGTAGCAAAGGACACCTAAAAATAAACATTTACATTAAATGTTTTAACTAGAAGATATGTATCTTTGGCTTACAATTGTAGGTTGTATCTTTTTGAAAGTGTCTCTAGCACATTTTTGGGCTCTGCACTCAGTCTGTGTTAACCGAGCAGCAACAGTTGGCAGGATATGGGTCTTAAGGGCTCCGATGTGACCAGACCTAGTTGCTGCATGGATTAGAGATTGCTAATTCAAGAAACCTTGACTTTGGTGTCTGAAATAGAAAACTGGGTGCAAAATAGTAGTAATCACCATAAATTATTTTCCTGATTACATGAACTGGCACTCTCTGGGCCTCAGTATCTCCAACTGTCAGCACTGCTCCTGCCCTTGCTATAAGAAGCAAGTTTAAATGTTTTGAACTCTTTAGAGAAAAACTTTAGAGAGATAAATGTGGGGCAGAGGGAGAGGAACGTGTTAATTTTAGCCTGGGGTTTTCCAGCTGGCACACTGTTTCCATCCTGAATCACTTCCACACCCTGAGCTCTGCCTGAGAGATCCCTCCTCCTGGGGGCTTCCCTGTTCCCTAGTTTGGTTTGAGCCATGATGATAAGCATTCCAGAAAAATGCTTAAGAGAAGCCTGGCTGAGTCATTTGATGCACAGAAAGATGTGAAGAAAGCATGGTGATGAGAGACAGTGATTCCTGTGGGGCCTGTGATGTGGGGCCTCCAAAAACTAAAAGAGTAGTATGGCCGTTGTTTATATTCTTGGCCTGTCCCTAAGCAGTGACTCTCGGCTCTACCACTTAGAGACTTCTGAGGACCTCCCAAGGCCTGGCAGTCTGTTCCAACTCCATGCAAGATAAAGGTTAGGACCTGTTTCCCAGGGCTAACATAGTTAGCATGACAGTGTGATTTAGTTTGGGATAATTCCTTTAGGACAATTCAGAAGACTAGGATGCCTCTTTTTCCCTCTTTCCCTGCCATCTGACTTACCATGGGGAAGAAAGGCATTTAGGGAGCAGGAACAGGTGACGATTTCCTAGTGTCATGCTGGTGTATTTTAATGTATTTAAATTTAGTGAAACAGTCTAATCAGGCAATAATCAATTCCCTCTTCATTAAGGGCCTTCATGCATGCCTTTTGCATATGGATGAGCCATGAGCTGGGGTCACACTGTCCCACAGTTGCCGAAGGTGATGGAACCCTGGTGTGCTCTCCAGGAACTTACACTCCTTCTGCTTAGACACCCCCACCCCTAGACTAGATTCCTGAGCTGACAGAAGAGGAAGGTTAATGAGGCCTCCTTGGCCTTCGGCCTCGGATCCTCCCTCACTGCCCCTACCCATCCCCATCAGCACCTCTACCTGCGCCCTCACGGTCAGCCAGTCCTCTTCCTTCCACCAGCCTTCGCCTGGTGTTTCTTCTGCCTGCTGGGTAGATTCTGAGCTCTCCTCAGCAGCTTGTTTGCTTCGCACCTCTGCGTTTAGTTGGTTCACCACTCCTCGGCCCTGCTCTGCTGCTTTCCTCTGCAGCAGTCTGCCTTTTCCTTAGGGAGTCTGACACCCTGAATGCACATGCTGCCAATGGGCCTGAGAAACACATTTCCACTCCCCACTCACCATCAGCCTCACTTCCCTGAGTACACAGTAAAGCTCCCCAACACCGAAAACACACACCTGTCTGTTCCTCACTTTCATTGCAAGGATAAACACGTGGAGGCATACCCCACCCAGGGCAGCCCAGACCAACCTCTTGCACGTTACAACCTCTTCTTCTCCCTGAAGCTCCCCCATATCCAGGGAGCAAGTTGGGCACAGATGGGGGTAGGGGGAGAAATGGGACCTAGGTGGTTGCCATGACAACATAGCCTAGCAACAGCTGAGAGGCTCTGTGTGGGCTTTTGCAGGGCTGTCACAGAGCCAAACCTAGAACTGGGGACTCAGAGGTGACTGATCCCAGCCGGGCAGCCCGTGTTCCCTCCCTGATGCACACTCTGGATTCTACCCCCGCCTCCAGCAGTGACTCTCTCTCAGAGAGGGTGGGATGGGAAAGCTAATGAGGGTTAACCACAGGGTTTCTAATGCTGCCCAGCTTTTGGGGGACAGCTATGCATGCGGGCAGGTTAGGAAGCAAGGCTGAAGTAAACCAAGCAGGCAGCCTCTTCCTGGGGCTCCCGCTTCTCTCTTCCCCGATGCCCCATTTTTCTCTCTCCTTTCACCCTTCACCCTCCATCTGTCTTATCAGCCAGCTCGCTCTTCATTTTCTTTCTTGCTCTGTTGTCCATCCTTTTAGGTAATTTTCCTTTTTCTTCTGTCTCCGTTCTCATGGTCTCTCTTGACCTTCACTGGAAAGTAACAAGAAAGCCACTCTTGCCCTTTCTCTTGCTCTGGCTGCTCTGCAGCAGGACTGCTCTCTACAGCTCCTCTTTCTTTCATTCCATCTCAAGTCAAAGCCCTCAAATCTGAACTCAAGGTCAGAGCAGGCCAGGTTAGGTGGGGCCTGGAGGGGCCCCATCCTTCCTTCCTTCCTCCCCTCCCAGCTGCCCACTGCCTCTCCTTCTTCCCTCTCTACAGAGCTCATAAGGCAGAAGCAGCCGACTCAGTTATCTTGCAAAGGCTTTATTTGAAAATTTTGAAACTTACATCCCACAAGAATTCAAGATTATCACCACAAGAAGAGATAATACAAAAATATATATCACAGCATAGGAGCCAGGTAAGAGGTGAAGAAGGAAGAAAGGTGTGAAAATGGTGAGAAGTAGGGACAAACCTGAGGGGAAAAGAGAAGGGAGATGCAAAAAGAGGGGGAGTGGAAGGGCTGGGTAAGGAGGGAAGGGGGGAAGGGAGGCAGAGGTGGGGGGGAGATCGGGAGGCAGAGCTCCCCATGGCCTTGAACCAGCTGGCTCCACTCCCTGGCAGCCCCGGTGGAGTCAGGGAGGCCCTCAGAGAGGCTGGGAAGTAGAGGACCGGTTCGGGGGCTCTGAATTCCAGACAGTGACACACACAGACAGCCAGGACAGATAAGACAAAGGGCCTTGGGAGGAAGGGAAGGGCAATTGGGGGCCCCTTTCTCATGTAGTGCAGCAGGTGACTTTCCAGAACCAATCTCTCAGACGACAGTTCAGCAGTGGGGTGGGGAAGAAGTCTGGGGCCTCACTACCTCCATTCCCATGGGGGAGCCCTCAGGGTCATGAGCGGCTCTCGGACTGAGAGGGGGAGACAATGAAACACATGGCACAGAGTGGATGGGACCATGGTAGACAGGGCCTTGAGGAGCCCTCAGCACATCTTCCTCCGGCCTCTGGGGCAGCATGCAGGGGCCACAGAAACTAGATCAGTGGGTGTTCATGAGGGAGAGAGTGAACACACAAGCAACACCACAACATGGGGGCAAGAGATGCATGTGAGAGGTTACAGAAAGTCAAAAGTTGCCCACTGCCCACTGAGTGACTGAGCTAAGCATAAGGTGGGAAAAAGAGGAAGTAACAACTGTGAAACACAAGGGATAATGTGAGAGGCAGGGATGGGGGATGAGGTGGGAAGAGGGTGCAGGAGCCAAGTGTGTGCAATGGTCTGGGAGGGAGGAGGTGAGTGTGCAAGGCTTCATGTGAGTGTGCAAGGATGAGGATGGGGGACCAGAAGCCACATATATGTGAGGCCCCACCTAAAGGAGCATGAGCAGATGGGATCACCTATGGGGCCAGTGAGTGTTCCAGGGTGGTGTGCAAGGGCAGGAGTTGGGGACACCTGCAGCCCCAGCCCCATAGATGCCCCACCCTCAGAGGGATGGGGGCTATGCCGGCCCCTTGGCCTCCTGCATGGCGGCACCCCAACATTGGAGGCATCACAGATTCACCAGGGGAATCCTGAGAGGAAGAGGGAGAGGGCACAGTCAGGAACAAAGGGGTAGGCCAGAGTCGAAGGGAACTCCAAGGCAAAGAAAAGGAGCCAAGGGGCAGAGATCAGAGCTGGAGTTAAATGGACAAAGATCGACAGAGCAGAGAAGGAAGGGACCCCCAGAGAGGAGCTCTTCCAGCCCTCGAGGGTGAGCCGGTGGATGGGGTCCAGGCCTGCCTCTTCCCCACCCACCTGGAAGGAAGCGCCCCCAACCACAGCTCTGAAGACCAGAGATGCCTCCCCTGCCTGCCCTCCCGTCCCGTTGCCCCTGCCCTCACCGGTTCAACTGGAAGGCTGGAGCCCCCTTGGGCTGGGACATCCCAGGCCGGGGTCCCCCTCGGGGCTCCTCATGGTCAGGGGTTGGGGTGGGTGAGTCCCCGAAGGCCCCCAGCACAGTGACCCCGGCTGGGGACAGGTCTGTCAGTGGCTGCTGGCTCTCCTCCTGCCTCAGCGCACCCTGCTGCCCTGAGGGCCTGCGCCTCTTCTGGCTGCGATCCCAGCTGGGTCACCGGAGTGAAAGAGGTTCTCTCACACACTTAAGCCCCCATCCTGGGCCTTCAGTGCTGGTCACCCCCAATGTCCTACAGCACAGACTGGCCTCTAACAGTTCCCTAGGCCAAATCCTGGAGACCTGGTGTCCATAAAACCACTTCCTCTACTCCCTGAGGTCTGGGGGTCTAAACCATCCTGGGGATGTGGTTCAGATCCACAGAATTAGCACCTCCTCCCCACCAGCATGTAGAGTCCCCCAGAATTGCCTCCTTCCCCATGCATACCCAGAAGAGGCACTTCTCTCCTCAGCAGGTGCCTGGCAGGCTTAGTTCTAGTTCAGTCAGCTAATGACCTGGACACCTGAGTCTAATGAGCCTCTCAGTAAAGTGTGAAGAACTGAGTGACCCATTATTAAGTGTGTGCAAAGAAAGTTTCCAGACTTTCTCCTCCCCCAGGCAGCCCTAAGAAGGGCTCTGCAGAATGGGTCAGTTTTCTTTCTCTTGGAGGAACTGGGGAAAAGGGATGCCCCCCCCAAGGTCCCCAGGGCACATGCATAATTCCCTCACCCTCCCGTTGTCCTTGGCTTTCCCTGAAAGAAGGAATTTGCCCTGGTTTCTCACTGTCCCCACTGACCCGAATCCCTTCTACCTTTCCCCAGGGTTTGCCTTCACCCGCCGCTTCCTATCCCCGCTCCCGCAAAATCGCCGCCCTTGCTCCCTCCCTCCCTCCAGCGGCCCTTTGGTCCCAGCGCCCTGCTCCCCTCAACTTACCAGAACTTGAAGATGATGCCAGTGGCCACAAGAACAATAATGATGGAGATGGTGATTGTGACATAGAGCTGGGGGTCCACACCTGATTGGGTTGGGGAGAGTTTTAGGGAGGCTTGAGGTGGCAGGCGCAGAGGTGGAGGGGGTAGGATTAGTCTGCGGGTTCAACGGCTTGAGGAGTGTTGTCGCTAGAGTCCACATCCTCCGACTCTTCCTGCTTCACTGGAGCCTCCCCCCTTTATTCCTATCATCAGCTTCCGCTCTTTTCCTCCCAAATCCTTTTCCTCCACTTTCCCAAATCTTCTGTATACATGTGAGGAAGAGGAGACTGCAAGCTCAGAATCCCTTTCTCTGTACAGAAACCAGGGGATGGAAATGTCCATCCCTGCCCTAGCCCCACTCCCAAACTGCTGGCCCTATCTTGGCATTCCCTGAGCCGAGATGCCGCCCTAGATGTCCCTTTCATCCGCAGTGTTCCTCTGCATGGAATACTCTCAGTCCGTTTTCAAGGTCCAGCTCAAATGTCAATTCTCGGAAGGTGTCCTGATCCCCAGGCAGAAGTAGCCTCTTCCTTCTCTCTTTTCCTAAAGACATGCTCTACGTGCCTCTATTGGAGCACGTATTACATCAACTCATCCCTGAATGTTTACACATCTGTCCCTTCCAGCAGATCTGAGCTCCTTGAGGACACAGATGGCATCTTCATTGCTGCCTCCTGTGCTAGCATGGTGCCTGGAACATCAGTGGAAGGTGCTAACAGACAAGACCTCAGTTGCTGCCCTTAGAGTTTCGGCCAACCTCCTCACCCCTCACACCCCTACCAGTCTTTCTTACTTCCACTCACCTTCTCCACGGCCCCCGAACAGGAGCGGCCGCAGGGTAGCAGGTGCTTCTCCGAGGTTGAGCCCATCTCCATCACCCCGCATGGAGTCTGAGTTGGGGTGTGGGGTAGCCAGCCCATGGGGGGCTGCAAAACCATAGTCCAGGGGCAGAAATCCAGGATTGGCAGAGTTGGGGTCCCCCCCATCCTCTCGAGACACTGTAGGGCCCCATACAATGGCCCAGGGGTACTGGGATGACGGTGGCCCCTCCTCAAAGCCAGACGGGGTAGCAGGGGGGGCAGTGCCGGACAGGGCTTGTCGACGAGATCTTGGGACCCGAGGGGATCGGCTTGGTGGGGGTGCTCGCTCCCACACGCACACGTGGCGTGGGGCTGACGGGCCTCCCCGGGCGCAGGGGGGCCGGGCTGGGGCTGGTGGGGTCCGAAGGGAGGAGGAGGAACCTTGAGCAGGTGGCGGGAGGGGCAGCAACAGCAACGGCCAGAGAGGGAGGAGGTGGAACAGCAGCAGAGCAGGCCTGTGGGAGGCAAAGGCAGGATGAGGCCAAGCCCATCTTGGCCCCTGCATGGGAAGGACAGGCTTATACTGCGAATCCCTGCCTTCCAGGTTTCTCTGCAAATGCAGGTGGCCTTGGGAAGTCTGGCCTCCTTTCTGGTCTCCCTAGGACCTAGCCCTCAGGGTGGGAGGCCCTGTGTGTGTCTAGGAGGGAAAGGCCAAGACGCTAGGAAAGGGGTCTCCAAGCGCTCTCTGCTGTGCCCAACTCACCACATCCTGGACTCCAAGTCCGAGATCTTTCTCAGTTGTGAGCCAGATTCTCAGCCTTTACTGGAGGAGAGAGGGGGGCGTCACTCCTAACCCTGCCCTCCCAACTTCCCTAGCTCATCCATCCACCAATTCTGTTCCAGTCTCCCCAGGATGCTGCGGTCTGCTATGCTGCTGCCTCCCAGGACCCACTGCTGCTTTTGGGGAGAAAACTCCCCAACCCCTATCCACAACTCCCCAAATCCCTGTCACCTCCCCACCCCAGGCCCACCCTCACTTCTCTGGCTTCCTTCTCACTTCCTCAGCCCACAGCTCCAAGCTTTTCTTGGATCTTAATTTAGAGCCAAGAACCTTGTGATTCCTTGAGCACCTACCGATGGGGAGGGAGCTTGAGAGTGGGGGAGGGAAGAGGAAGTCAGTCTAAGCAGCGTGCGAATGTGTGTGGGGGGCACCCAGCCTGCCCACCCCACTTGTAGTCCCAGGCATTTCCCTTATGGCTGCCCCAAGAACCTGCATCTTCGGGAGGAGGGAAAGAGGAGATGCAGGAATGGAAAGAAAAAGACAGAACGACAGAAGTGGGTGGGAGAAAAACTAGAGTATAATTTTTGCCCAATGTTTAATCATCCAAATGCATAGACGCCCTCTGAAGGGAGGTGGAGTCAGGGAGAGGCCACCCCCTCAAATGTTGCTCTCCTGGGTAAAGAGTCCTGGGAGAATCTGGAAGGTTGGTTTTGAAAGAGGAGGACATGTTCTCAGAGCTGATGGATCCAGGGGGTCTGGGCTCCCCAGAGTGAATAAGGGGATGGGACAGCCTGTGTCCTCTGGGTTCTGGGTCCAAGTATACACTGAGTACTCCCAGAGAATAAGGGGGCACGTCTGGGCAAGGGAGTGGGGGAGTAGGGAGTGGGGAAGGTGGGAAGGCGGTAAGGTGCTGAGAGCGAAGAGCAGTGGGCAGCCGGAGGGGAGGGAAGGCAGGCCTAGGGGCGTTGAGGTGGGGAGAGGAGTCAGTCCCAAAGAGAACGGCCCGGGAGGGGGCTCCAGAAGCAGAAGCTCGGAGAATGCTGCAAGGAGGACAGTCTGAGCAGGTCAGAGGGGAGACTGAGAGGGTGAAGGGGTCACAGGAGCAGGGGGAGGAGGTAGGCAAGGTCCAGGCAGGACAGGAAGCGGCGAGGGCGCAACGGGAGAGGGTAGGGGTGAAGACCAGGGCTGGGGGCAAGGAGGTGGGAGAGGAGAGGACTGAACACTGAGAGAGAAAAAAAATGCGAAGAGCAGGGGACCCGGGCGACAGCGGGAGCAGCAAAGATGGAGGAGCTGGACATTGTTTCTTCAAATGTAAAGGGATGCAGGGCAATGGAAAGAGGGACAGGGCCCTGTGGGCAGACGTAGAGGGCCGGGAAGAGAAGGAAGCGGGCGGGCGGGAGGGAGTGTTGAGAGAACCAGTGAAGCGAAGAGGGGCTCCTGGGGACAGCTGGGGACAGCTGCGGCCAGCCGAAACACTTGCCTCTCCGCCCAGTGCTTCCCCCCTAACCAACGTCAACTCCAGTCCCCGGCCCCGCACCCCCGGTGCCACCCCCTCCAGGAAGCCCGCAGTCCCCGGGCTGGCGCGCCTCCCCCACCGCCTCCTCGCTTCTCACCGACCTGTTGTGCGCAGGAGACGAGCGGGGGTGGGGCGGGAGCCTCGGGTCCGGGGACCGGGCCCTTCCCCGGCCGAGCCCGCACCCAGCCCTCCACAGGCCGGCGCTCCGCCGACGGGGCTGGACAGCAGCGGGAGTGGGTGGCAAACGAGGACCGGGAGGTCGGCGAGGGACTCGGAGGGAGGGCGCGCCGACAGCAGAAAGGGAACCCGAGGCAGGAGGACGTGACGAGCCGAGGGCTGAGCCCAGGGCAGGATGGAGGCAGCCGCGGGGACGGTGTCCGCTGCGCCAGGAGGGCAGGATGGAGTGGGGACCCGCGGAGGGCTGGGGGGCACGGCGGGGAAGGGGCGCTTGGGCGCTGGCGGCTGGAGGTCGGACCCGGGCCCGCCGGGAGGCCCGGAGCGGGGAAGGGCAGGGCCGGCTCCCTCGGGTGGGGGCGTGGGGGTCCTTCTCACTCACCTGCATGCCTGGCGCGGCGGCGCGACAGCTGCGAGCGCTCAGGGCTGCGCGGGGCTGGGGGGTCGCGGGAGCGGGTGGGGCACGGGGCATGGTCGGGGGCTTTGGCCGGCAGCGGGGCTCTGGAGAGGGCGGGGGGCGGGCGCCCGGGGCGCGGGGCGGCGGCGGCGGCGGGAGATGCTCGGCTCGGCTGGGCTCGGCTGCGCTCGGGCTGCGCTCGGCTTGGCTGGGCTCGGCGCGGCTGCTCCGAGCGCGCGGTCCCCGCCTCTCCCCCTCCCGCGGCCGACCACGCACAGTTTAACCCTCCGGCTGCCGCACCCCAGGAGTCGCGCCCAGGTGGAGGGTTGGAGAGGGCAGCGGAGGGTGAGCGACCCGCTGATTCCCCGGGTTCTGATGGCAGGCCTCCCCTCACCCTTTCACCGCCACTCCATGGACACCTACGTGCACCCCGTCAGTTTCTTAGATTCGGGGCCACCCAACGCTCTGCGTCCCCGGCTCTGTTTCACTCCTAGTGGAGAGTACCGAGCGCCGGGGATCAAGGTGGGGTGGGGGTGAAGACCTCACATCCTCCTTAGATGATCTCAGCAGCTTGGTCTCCAGATTACACTCTGGCCCTACTGCAATTCATTCTCCCCAGAGCAACCCAAACAGTTTTTAAATCAAGTACATCAAGTCGCATTACTCAGCTTTTCTAACACTCAGGATATGCACACTGCTTACTGTGACTTACAAGACCCCTAGTTTGGTCTGATTTCCTCTTCTAACATTCTTCTTGACCCAGCCACGCAGGACCTGACCTCTATCACTCACACTAGAGGAGCATACCTTGCCACAGGGCCTTTGCACTTGTTCCCTCTGCCTGGAATGTACTTCCCTGGGTTTCCACAATGACTCCCTCTTTTCATTAAAATTTTACTTGCATCCGATGCCACTTGCTCTGGGAGGCCTGCCCTAACCTCTCTATCCAAAGTACCTTCCCCTGCCACCACTCTCAGCCCATCCCACCCCATCCCTCTCTATGGCGTTACCCTGTTTCATTAATTGTGCATCTCTAGGACACTCAGCTCTCTCACAGGCTTCTCTTCTTCAGTCTTCTTGGGCTCAACCTCGAAATGTTAGAGCTTTCTAGGGCTTAGTCCTTGGCCTCTTCTCTTTCCACATTCTCTGTCCAGTGATGTCATCGTATCCCGGGGCTTAAATACTATGTAAATGTCAGCAAGTCCTAAATTTATATACAGAGCTCCAGACTCATTTATTCAACAGCCTACTTGACATCTCCACTTGGATGTCTAATAGCCACGTGAAGCTAATGTGGCTAAAATAGATATCTTGAATGCTCCCCCCTACCAGTCCATTTCTCTCCATGTTCCCTTTCCTGGAACGTGACTCCTAGGAAACATCCTTTCTCCTTTTCCCTTTTCTCACTAATTTCCACCCTGTATCTAACTCACCACGTCCTGCGAGCTCTGCATCCAAGTATATCCAGAGTACACCTCTTGTCCATCTTTGTTGCTGTCATCCTGGCCCCAGGCATCATCTTTCATTTGGAATGATGCAATAGCTACCTAGCTGTTTCCTTCCTTCTGCCTTGCCCTGGTAATATTTTTAAAAATCTGAAATATATCATGCTCTTCCCTGCTTAAAATATTTGAGTGGCTTTTCATTGTACTTGGAATAAATCTGAACTCTTTGTTAGGAGAGGTCCTCCAACTTGTACTCCTCCTCAACGTTCAGACATGTTCCTGCCAGATCAGACCTCTTAATGTTCTAGAATATCTGAAATCATTCTTTTAATGCCGTTGCACTTCTGATTTCCTCTTCCTGGAATCCTTTGCCTCCCCCTCACCCCCAACATCACCTGGTAGGCTCTTGCTCATCTCTCAACCACCCACTCTATTTCATCAATATGTTCCATTGTCTTTCCAACTCATCACTCCAAAATAATCTTACATTTGTTTACTGTTTTTTTGTCTGACTACCTGGCCCCCACATACACAAGAGAACAAAGATCAAGAGAACAAAGATCTCATTTGTCATGTTCACCCTATATCCTACCTCAGTGCCTGGCACATAGTAGATGCTCAATATTCATTGCTTAGAGAGCTTCACCTGGGACCCGGGCCACTCTGAATGCTGCATTCTCTCCTGCACACTCAACCTGCCTTTCCTTTCTGCCTGCCTGCCCTCCATGATCTCTGCCCTGTGCCAAATGCTTTAGGCTCCCTCTGCTCACACCCACACCCCTCCTGACTCTCGACCTTTCATCCTTTGCGCTATTACTATCATTAGCCTGGGGCTCCCTCCTCCTGCCTCCCGGAAGGAAGCCTGTTGTTCAAACGGCTTAGGCAGCAGCTGCCCTCCTGTGTGTCTGTCCCTGACAGCCCTTCATTCCAAGGTCAGAACAGCAGTGAGAGAGCCGTCCTCTTAGTGTCTCCCAGTGGCAGGGGAAAGACAGTGCACATTGGATGTGAACAGGGCCATGGGAGACAGGGTGAGCAAATCATGCCATATCCTGGGCCCCAGTGAGCCCCAGTGCATCCTGAGGATAGGCTGTTAGAGGACTTGTGGTGTGATGGGTGTGAGTCAGACTTATCAGGTGAATATGAATACTCACTACCAGTGTAAATGCCTTTTATGCTGAGGACTTCGGGTCATTACCAATTATTTCTAGTATTCTTGATTCACTTGTCCTTTCAATGGCTGTCTTTGAACACCTGCTACACCTGAGTATGGCACTGCAGCCTGCGGATCTAGTAGACAGCAAGAACAAAGTCTTCGCTGCCTTCACAGTCCTTAGAATCTAGTGAAGGAGACAGTGAAATACTGAGTGATAAAGTGTCTTGAGATGCATTTGAGGACCTTCCCACACTCCACTGTCTATAAATTCTCCCCGTATGTCTGGCTCTTCTGGTATCTTTATTACTACCTCTGGGCTCATTGGGGGTTCCCAGTATTAGTCAGGATGAACTTCTGTTCCTCAAGTGTCCACTGTCCTTGGGACTCTTCTCTCAGCTGCTGACCTGGATGACTGCTCTTCTGGGAAAATGGAAGAAGCAGACAGGAGAGAATGTCCCCATTCCACCAGCACATGTCAGTCCCACCTCTCCTTGTGTCAGGGAGCCCAGACCTACCACCCACCCAAAGTCCTCACTCCAGCAACTGCCCCTCTCTCTCCCTCAGCCTCACTTTCCACTCTACCTGATTATTCCCAGCAGCCTGAAGCGCAGCTTAAAACAAACCCTCTTCAGCACCACGTTCCTCTCCAGTGTCTGCAGTTCCTTGCTTCCCTTTTCAGCAAAGCATATCAGGAGATGGTGTCTGTTCACCACCTCTTCCTCTTCTCCTCTCATTCTTTCTTTCTCTTTTTATTAATTTAAACTATTTGGTTTTTGTAATTCATTATTTTGGATTGGCAATACATTCACAAGTGAAAAAAAGTTTTCTGTATAACAAAGGTATAGAGTGAAAGTTTTCATTCTCACCACGTCCACCCTCTTTCCCATCCCGGCCCTCCCTCCATATGACTAAGTTCTATGTTTTCTTTTGGAGTTTCTTGATGCATATGCACACAACTAGTAATTCCTATTCCCCATGTACTTTACATAAAAGTTGGTATCTCTTCTTTTTGACTTGATATTGTATCTTTGGTCTCTTGCTGTATCACCAAAGATGGAGCTTTGTCATCCTTGCACACAGCGTCGCACTCTTCTGATGTAATGGATACCCTCCCAATCTCCCTTGAACCCACTTCTGTCAGGCTTCTGCCCAAATTGTCCTACTGAAATTCCTCGTCAGGCTCCCTGTGTCCTTCATGTTTCAAAATCCAAAGGCCAATTGACATGCCTTTGGTGATCAGCAGCCTTTAGTATAGTTGATCATGTCACTTTCTAGAAACACGTTCTTAGCTCACTGATGATATGATGCTGTCCTAACTTTTGTCCTAGCACACTCATTCCTCCTTCTCAAGCTTATTTTCTAGGTCCTTCTTGTCTCCCTGACTGCCACCTCTTCTCTTTCTACAGTCACCACAGGGAATCTCACTCAGTCTCTGGGCTTTAAATATAATTTTCACTGATGACTCCTAAATTTAAAAATATTTATCTCCAGCCCAGCCCCTTCCCTTCTCTCAGACTTTTCTATTCAACTGCAAACTTGCTCCTCCCTCACGCTTACTCTGTTAATAAGTGGGAACCATTCTTCCCCTTGATGAGGACAAAAAATTGGATCACCTTTTTATGTCTCCATCACTGGCTAGTATTAGCTTTATTATCTTTAAATATAATTAAATGTAAAATTTGATATTCAAAATACTAATTTTAATATATATGTTAGCTATAAAGTAGAAAAATAAAATGAATATCTGTGAACCCATTATCCCACCCAAGGGACTAAAAAGTTACCAGTTACTTACAACTACGTGACTCCCATGCTCCCATCTGCCTGCCTCTTCCCTATAATCACTACCTCCCCAATTTTAAGAAACGATTCCCTTTTTTTTTTTTTTTTGAGAGCCAGGGAGAAGCTTTTATTTAGAGATAAAGTAAGAGGAAAGAGCTCCTGGCTCACACCAGGAGGGGACAAGAGAGTCCTACGATTCCCTTTTTAACACCCATCAAGCCATGAATTCGTAGGGAATGGGTTCAGTTGCTCAGGCTCCTTTCCATTTGTTTTAAAAAAGTGTTCTTCTCTAGGTGGAGCAGGCTGCTGCTTCATTTGAACCCAAGTACCTTTCTCTTGGTTTCCGTCTTTCTCTGATCACTCTGATCACAGGCTTCAGGAAGCTACCTTTGCTCTTAGACTGCTTAACATGCTGGAGTGCTTCACATG